AGCTCCAGCAACAACTCTCAGTGCCGATTCCAGAGGATGACGAATGCTAATTACCTCTGGGACTCTTCACTAACACTCAATGTCTCCAATGTCACCTACCAACAGCTTTGTTGTGACACACCCATCCTGCACTCCACAATTAGCACTTTCAACACTTCAGTATTAAACATTCCAGCCAGAATTCCCCAGCAACAGACACGGGGGTATTCAGCACTGACTTCTTACCGAAATGTTCCACATCATTTTGATAGCTAAGGGAAAAGCCCCTTTTGGCTGGTGCTTCACTACAGGCTCCCCTTCAGCCCCCTGGGAGGCTGAGGCACGGTCCTGCTGCAGGGCTGGATCCCGAGGGGTGGGACAGAAGGGAATAGCTGCCTCGTACACAGCGGCGCTGCAGCCCTTCCCGATGGGCTGGCCAATGAGGTACTCCTCCAGCTTGAAGCCCTGCCAGCGGAAGGAGCTCAGGGGATCTTTCTGCGGCTTGTTCTTCCCAACAAACACGGTCTGAAAGGAACATGAACAGAAGAACGAGCTCAGTTATCCCAGACTTCCCAGCTGTGATAAATGCATATTTTATGATTGGCTTTTTGCAAATGATACAATGAATATTATATGTGTAATGTTAGAAAGTTACGTTGTATTAATTCTCTTTAGTAGTGTGTTAAATATAGTTTTAGGTTCCAACATAATGTTAAAATAGAGACTATGTATGTGGGGAAGTTTTTTTTTTTAGGAATGAGATACTTGCTTCAAGGAACACCTAAATCTTCCAAAGGAGAGGAATTTATGGCTTCTTATCAGAAGAAGCTAATTTCTTCAGGCCTTGATCAGACTCGAAGATGCCATGGGGATAAAAGGAAACAGTTGACATACAACAGACAGAGTTTCTTGTTTAGAATAGAATGTATGCATAACCATGAAGGATATATGAATATGCAACAAGTGTATTGGTTTAAGGGTGATTCCTTTGTTCACATGCTTTTCGTGACTTAGTGTCTGAGAGCATCCGGACATCCATAATTCTTTGCTTTTTAATGTCTTGTAATTGTCCTAACTCTAAACTTTATTACTCTAATTGTATTATTATTTTTATAACCATTTTATTATTATTAAACTCTTAAAATTTTAAAAAACAAGTAATTGGCGTTTTTCACACCAGAGAAGGAGAACTTGGTGTTTCAGTGGTATTACACGTCCTGGTGGGATGGTCCAACCTGAAAGTGTCAATCAGACTCTAACCATTGGGCTCAAATCACTGTAACCACATGAAAGATCATCTGCAAGCCACATATTTTTGTGTGATACAATTTACCCCTACACCAGTCTTTTCCAAAGGTGCCCTTTTCGAGGGAAGAAGAGAAACCAGGAGGGGGAGTCATTTGCCAATTTAGAATATAAATATATTTTGCCCAGAGAAACCATGGCTGCTCCATCCCTGGCAGTGTCCAAGGCCAGGATGGTCAGGACTTGGAGCAACCTGGGATAGTGGAAGGTGTCCCTGCCCATGGCAGGGGTGGAAGCAGATGGGGCTTCAAGTCCCTTCCGGCCCAAACCATTCCATGATTCTGGGGTTGTGTAAAGCTAAGTTTAACTGAACACTTCTGAAAACAGATGCATTATTACACTTTTCTCCCTCTCCATAAACAAATCAGGCAAACAGCATTTAAAAGAAAATCCAATTAAAAGCAGCAACAGGAGAAACAATGGCCTTTGTGTGGCAGTTGACTGTGAGGGCTGGTTAGTTTGAGGGAGAGTGAATCTATGATGGGAGGGAGCTGGGGGAGGAAATCAAGAGACGTGGATAAACAACACCCAGGAGGCTGTTCTGGAGTTTCCTCACAGTTCATGATCCTACAGGTCTGGTGCTGCCCCAGCTGTCACCTGGACAGATACAGACAAGTGGCCTTCTCTGTGAGCTGCAGCCCCAAGGCACCGGTGACACCCTAGGGATGTGTCATCAGACACAGACCAGGGACAGCAAATGGAACAACCCAGCAAGGACAGAGGAGAGAAAGGATCCTCTTCAGGAGAAACTTCAGGGAACGCGTCTGCTGGCCAGTGGAGCAGGTGACAGCTGGCTCTGAGCACCAGAGGTCTATTTTTACCCGGGAAATAAGTTCAGTACCATATGTCCCCTGTGCCCTGCCAGCACAGCCTGGCCCAGCACCACAGGGGCCCTAGGGATCAACATCAGTGTCCTGGGACATGAGACCCCCATCACCAGGGGCCTGACCTCCTCCCTCTGGAGGGACAGGGAGTGAGGGTCCCTTGCTTTTGAAAGTGGTGGCTGCATCACTGTGCTTTAGGGCAATGAAGGGCTGGTGAGTGAAGGACTTCCCCAGGACCCTGTTTTTGGGGAGAAAGAGGCGCCTGTGGGGCTGCTCCCAGCACTCCTCCTTTGGGGAGGTGTCTGAGGGCTGCTCACTGCAGCACCCCACCTTCCTTGGGGAGAGATGCGGAGGCGTCTGTGGGGCTCCCCAGTGTGCCCTTCACAGGGGCTGTCGGGGGGCTCCCCACAGCAGCGATCCCCCTTCCCTTCATGAGGGATGTCTGAGGGGCTCCATAAAACAAGGCTCTCCCCTTCACCAAGGGTGTCTAGGGGGCTCCCCACAGCAGTGATGCCCCTACCATTGCAAGGGGGCATCTGAGGGGCTCCTCAGCAGAATCCCCCTCCCCTTTATGGATGATGTCGAAGGGCTTCTCCAGAGGGATGACCCCCGCTACCCTCAGCGGGGGCGTGCAGGGGCTCCCCAGAGCAAGGGCTCCCCTACCCTTCTTTGGGAGGGTGTCTGTCTCCCCACAGCACTGACACTCCGAGGCGTCCCACGGGGGTGTTCAAGGGGCTCCGCACACCAAGGACCACCCTCCCTTTCACGAAGGATGTCTGGAGGGCCACGACCTCCTCTGCCCTTCTTGGGAGATGCCTGCGGGCCTCCTTCCCAGCCAGCCCCCCTCCCTCACGGAGAGCGCCGCAGGCGCTGCCCAGCGCGACCCCCGGGCCGCTCCCCACCTGGATCTGGCGACACGCCGCCTCAGCCCGGCGCTGCTCCTCCAGGCGCGGCTCCACCAGCCGCAGCGCCACGGCCAGCGCCAGGCACACACCGCCCCCGCGGCCCCGCCGCGCCGCGGCCGCCAGCCCGGCCGCCGGGCCGCGCAGGAGGCGGCGGGCGGCCGGCAGCCAGCCCGGCCAGCCCGGCCAGCCCAGCCAGCCCGGCCCGGGCCGCCACGGCGCGGCGGGCGCGGGGCCGGGCCCGGGGCGCGGGGCCGCGCGGGGCGCGCAGGGCGGCCGGCACCGCGGCAGCAGCCGCAGGGCCCGGGCCAGCAGCAGCCGCACCGCCATGGCCACGGCCTCGGCCGGGGCGGGGCCACCGCGGGACGCGCCGACAGGCCGCGCCCCGAAACACGCCCGGGGAGCCGGGGAGCGCGGGGCCCGAAACACCCGGGGAACGCGGGGCCGGAAACACCCGGGAAACCGGGGAGCGCGGGGCCCGAAACACCCGGGAAACCGGGGAGCGCGGGGCCGGAAACACGCCCGGGAAACCGGGGAACGCGGGGCCCGAAACACCCGGGGAACCGGGGAGCGCGGGGCCCGAAACACGACCGGGGAACCGGGGAACGCGGGGCCGGAAACACCCGGGAAACCGGGGAACGCGGGGCCGGAAACACCCGGGAAACCGGGGAGCGCGGGGCCGGAAACACCCGGGAAACCGGGGAGCGCGGGGCCCCGAAACACCCGGGAAACCGGGAACGCGGGGCCCCGAAACACCCGGGGAGCCGGGGAGCGCGGGGCCCCGAAACACCCGGGGAACGCGGGGCCCCGAAACACAACCGGGGAACCGGGGAGCGCGGGGCCCCGAAACACGCCCGGGGAACGCGGAGCCGCGGCCCCGGGACGGGAGGAAACGGGGAGGGAGAGGAGCAGGGAATGGGCAGGGAATAGGGAGGGAGAGGGGCAGGGAACGGGGAGGGAATGGGGAGGGAGAGGGGCTCGGAGTGGGGCAGGGAATGAAGAGGGAATAGGGAGAAAGAGGGGCAGGGAAGAGGGAGGGAATGGGCAAGGAGAGGGGCTCGGAGTGGGGCCGGGAATGGGGCTAGGATTGAGCATGGAGTGGGACAGGGAACGGGCATGGAGTGGGGTAGGGAATGGGGCTAGGAATGGGCAGAGGAGAGGCCATGGAGTGGGGCAGGGAATGGGGCATGGATGGGGCAGGGAGTGGGCATGGAGGGGGACAGGGAACAGGGCATGGAGTGGAGCAGGGAGTGGGTGTGGAAACGGGCATGGAGACGGGCAGGGTGCAGGGCATGGGAGTGAGATGGGAAATGGGGCATAGAGCAATGGAGCAGGTGTGGAGTGCAGTATGAACAGGGGACATGGAGTGGGGCATCAAGCAGGGCACGGAATGGGTCATGGAGCGGGGCACAGAGCAGGGTTCAGCCAAGGTAAAGCCTTGTGCAATGCAGGGCATGGATGCCACAGCCAGGAGTGCTTTGGCATGGAGCATGCCAGTGCCCTGGGAACAGCCAGGCACAGCCCAGTGTGTGGAATCACCAAATGACAGAATCACAGGCTGGTTTGGGCTGCAGGGGACCTCAAAGCCCACCTTGTTCCACCCCTGCCATGGGCAGAGACACCTTCCACTCTCCCAGCTTGCTCCAAGCCCCATCCAAACCTGGTTTCCAGGGTTGGGGCAGCCACAGCTGCTCTGAGCACCCTGTGCCAGAATCCCTCCCTCCCCTGCTGCCCGTGCTGTGGCATCAGCCCCACAGCTGAGGCACATCCAGCCTCTCATCCACCAGCACCTCCAAGTCCTTCCCAGCAGGAGTGGTCTCCATCCTCCAGCCAATGCAGGTACTGAGGGGCTGCCCTGACCAGCACCCTGCACTCGGCTTTGTTGAACCTCATGAGGTTCCCAGGGCACATCCAGCACCCCCAGCCCTGCCTGGGCTGCAGGACAGCCCCGGGACCCCACTCCCTGTTTTCATCACTCGCTACAACTGCAGGAGATAAACCAGAACTGCTTTTATTTCACTTGGGCATGGCAGAAATGCTCAGCCCAGTGCTGGTTGGGAAATGTAATTAATTAATTTATCACTGTATTATACATCAATGTATGATCAACAAATGGCATTACCCTGGAGACATAAAACTCTCCAGAAGTCCCCAAAAACTCCCTGCCCTCTTCTTCACCCCAAACAGAATAAAAGTAAAACAAGCTGGGGAGAAAGGAGCAAAGGACATGGTCAGTGCAATAACCATCCTGTTCCAGCAATCCACCTAATCTGGATTGGGTCACTTCTGGCGCTGATGGACCTTTTCCTTCTTGCTTTCACTTCTTTTTAGAGCTGAAGAATCCAGCACTTTCCCAAGCAATTATTTTGCATTATTCAGGAGTGGTTTCTGTACCAAAGCCTGTTTGAGTTCTGCATCAAACCCATGTCCTCCCTTGCCTACAGGGATGTCTGGATGCTTTTTTTACTAGTAACAGGGAATTTCTATTATTTGATTTTGCCATTTCCTCGGGGCAAGGTGGAGCTGGAGTCTGTGAATCAACACTGAATTAGAAGATGATCCAGAGGAACAGGCAACTTAACAGTATAAACACGTTTTCCATTGTGTTGTTCCCAAAAAATTGCTTACAGGCTGAGAGAGTCAGGGAAAACCATTGTTCCCTGTACCTAAGGGCAAAGGCTGGTGATGGCCACTCTGCTCAGACCTTCTTCAGGTCCTCAGGGCCAAAGGAGAGTGGCAGCAGCTCCTCCAGCCTCTTGACAATGTAGGTGCCATCTGCTTTGGTCAGGTAGACATCCCAGTCTGTGCCAAACTGGAGGAGGAGAAAGAAGAGCCTGATGAGGGGGAAGAAGGAGGGAAGAACCTGCATTTCTTCCCCAAATTAATAATATACTCCTTTTTATTCAGGTTCACAGGGAGCATCCCCCTCTATTGCATGTATTTTGGGTTGGCTTAGCAGCATTACCTCCCCCAGAGGATATTCTGGGCTCAGATCCTGTGTTTTTACCCCACCAGCGTGAGCCCCAGTGCCTCTGAACCTGCTGAATCTGACATATTAACAACCCAAAAATGGGCAGTGGGTGCTGGGATTCCTGTGGAGGAGGGATACAAGAGCCGGATAGGATCTCTGGGAAACTCAGCTTTTGCAGGAAAACCCCCATTTTCATGCTTGCCAGAGCAAGGGCTCAAGGGCAAAACTCTGCACCTGGAAGGCAAGCTAATGAACACCCAACCCAGGGCTGGAATCTCCCTCTGCCAGCAGGTAATGAAATTTGAGGAGCCTGGAGCCAGCCCTGGAGCTGAGGATGGGGCGTTGCACCCTCCTTGGTACCTCCAGGTGTTTCAGGGGGAGATGCCTGGGGTCAGGGGATGGTGTCTGGGATCAGGAAATGAGCCATGGAGCCCCACACGAGCTGTCACCTCTCTCATCACTTGTCTGCAGGCGCCACAGGGTGTGATGAAGTGGTCCCCCATGTCACTGCCAAAGGAGAAGGGCACAGCATTCAGTCCTGAGGTCAGAGGAGGGAAGAACACCTGCAGAAGACCCTCACGCCCCAAAAAATACAGAGCCACAACAGATTTGCCCCCCAATTCCACCAAAAACAGCATGCAAAAACTTTATTTGCCTCCCCAAAAGATGGGGCTGCTGCAAAAGAAGCTGTCCCTGAGGAGCAGCAGGGGTTCTGCTGCTGGTTGCCCATCCCATCCCTCGCCACTCCAGCTCTCACCTGGCGATGGCCATGGCCTTGAAGCTGGTGTGCCCCTCAGAGATGGCTTTTTGGATGGCAGCACGCTCGGCGCACATCCCCAGGCTGTAGCAGGCATTCTCCACGTTGCACCCTGCAGGGACAGCCCCGGCATCAGCCACCTCAAACCCCACCAGCTCCTTTCTTCTCAGGGAATTGACAAAGAAAAGCCATTTGCCCTGCTTCCCCTATTTATTTTCCCATCCGCTGTGATCTTTGGCTCGCTCCGGGATGGCGGCTGCCAAGAGGCAGCGGGGAAGGACACACAGCACCAGCACCCTGGGGTGACCCCGCTGCACCCTCATACATGACCCAAGGCTTGCTGGGGGCTCCCCAAAATCCCCGGGGGGCTCAGATCCCCATCTTACCCGAGAAGATCTCCCCGCCGGCGGTGAGCAGTGCAGCTCCCACCGGGAACTGGCTGTAGGGGCAATAGGCGCAGTTTTTGGCCTCCCGGCTGCGGCGCAGCAGGAGCTGGAGATGGTCACCCTGCGGCTGGCCGGGGGGGACAGCAGGGATCGGGTGCTGCCCGCCTCCCTCCATTCCTGCAGCCGCCTGCCCTGCCCGCTGACGCCGCGGTTAAATATTTCCTCGCCTAGAAAATAGGCTGGCCGGGACGCCGGGATAACGCCCCGGCACGCAGCTGAACTCCGGGAAGCATCCTCAGGGACAGCCCTGGCCCCAAAAGCACCGTCTTCAGGGATTCCCACATCCTCTCTCTGCCTGCTGCCTCATTCTTTCCAATTTCTCTTGTTTTCGTTATTTACTTCCTCCTTTCTCTGTCCCAGCAGAGCTTTTTTCCGCCGCCATCCCACCCCTCCTCAGTTCAAAACTGGTTTTGTGGCTCCACAGGAAAATGTCCTTAAATCATTCCTTGGGGGAAGGAACAACAGCTCCTGATCAGTGAGATCAAAAGAAATAAATTAAATTATTGAAAGCATACAAAGTATACAGAAATATATTTTTATCATAAAAAATAATATTTCCCAGGTCTTCTAACTACAGTCAACAGGAGAAACTGGCTGAAGACACAAGTGGTCAAAAGCCCAATTTCAGATGCCCTCATGCTGGAGCCCAAATTCAGTTTGGCCGGTGCTTCCAGGGGAATCAGCCCACACAAGGAAAGGGCTCCAGGGTGATCATCAAATTGTTTTTTAATTAAAGATTTCTCTATTTTTCCCCTTGCCCAAGGAGCTTCCTGCTCCATTTTCTAGCTGCAAGAATGGTTGTCACAGCCTCCAGGGATTTATCACTGAGATTTTTGTCCAATTTGTTGGATTTTGGGAGGATTTTGACCTTACCTGCTGGTTTTGCCAGCAAATCTTGCTGCTGGGACGCTGCTGAGGAGCCACAACAGACTGGGAAGCAGTATCCAAATTTTGAGTGGCTTCTGAAGGGGCTGAAACTCCAGGAGCTGAAATAAAGTATGGGACAGTGAGATCACCACAGGCATGCCAAGAACCCAAATCTAGGATGCTGAGATCGGTATTGTCCAAGGGATACCCAGGAAACCCATCTCCCACACACTGCCAGGGTGCTTGTTCATTCTGGAACCCAGCAAGCACAGTTCACTACTTGCCAGGGCAGTGAGTGAGAGGAGGGACTGGCAGCCCTGAACCAGCCCACAACCCTTTTTCACAGCTTTCAAGTGCAAATCCAGGTTGTTTCCCCCTATATACCCCAAAATCTGGGAGAAAAAAAGGAAAACCACTCCTAGGGCAACTTGTGGGTGGCACTGTGGGGTCAAACCAGTGTAGAGGGACACCACAGGCCCCCTCCCCCCCTGACCCAAATAATGTGGGATCTGTAAATAAAGAAGCTTTCAGGGTGGGTCCACACCTGCCCTCTCAATATGAACACCAAGCAAATAAACACAGTCCTCACCTCAAGTCAACGAGGGCAAGAATAAAAATTATGAGGGCAAGAATAGAAATTACTAAAGACAGAGGCTATCATGGATAGAAATCTTCCTCATTAGCACTAATTCCCTAATTGCCATCTCCCCAAAACCATACAAGCACTGGGAGCAAACCACACAGCCCATGTTTGCATCAAAAAAGATGAAAACCAGACAAATCCATGCATTTTTTATTATTTTGGCTGCAAAAACCTTCAAGGCTGTCGAGGCCGCGGCAGTGAGAGAGTGGGGCTGGTGCTGTCTGCCTGTGAAGCTGCTATTTTAAGGTTGTATTTGCTTCACTCAAACTGCAGAAAATCTGGGAAGCTGCTAGGAAATGGCTTCCCGTTTCCCTGCAACACCCCACTCTGTTTTTCTTCCCCAAGTAGACTAAAAGTGGGGGCACATGGTGTTATTTTACCCCTTTCTCCACCTCATTTTTCAATCCCAAGGCAAACAGAGCATCCCCAAGCCCAGGGGTCTCCCTGCTTTACATCCAGATGGTAAGAAAAAAAAAAAAATAAGGTGGAACTCAGGGTTTGAGCCAAAGGCACTGAATCCTGGAGCAGCCTCAGACTCCACTGCAGGGCTGAAACCTTGCAAAACCTCCCCAAAAATTCCCCCCGAGCTGTGCCATGGGGAAACAACATTCAATTTCTCCTGGAGAACAGCTGTCTTAGGGGGTTGGCCAGAGATAAAAGCAACAGGTTAAAAGCCAGCTCAGCCCAAAAGGAGAGGAGCAGCAAGGAGGTCTGACTGGCTTGGAAATAACAGGAGCAAAAGGGAGGTCTGGAAGAAAAAATGCCAGCAAACCTGCAGGATCTGCAAATCCTGGCACACACCCTTGTGCAACGTACTGCTTTGGGGGGAAAACCCCACCTTTTTGTCATTCCAGTGTCAGAAGCCATCATCTGACCCTCCCAAAATCAACCCCCCAGCCGGGTGGGAAATCAGGGAATTTCCTCTCACGCCGGTGGGTGTCGGCACCGGGGGTCTGGCGGCTGCATGGGGATGGGGGCTTGATTCCCCCCGGCTTCCAATCCCTGCCGGGGCACGCAGCGAGCGCGCACGGAGCCGGCGGGGGCCGCTCACCGGCGGGGGTTTCTCACCGGCGGGGGCCGATCAGCGTCGGTGACCGCTCACCGGCGGAGGTTTCTCACCGGCGGGGGCCGCTCACCGGCGGGGTCCGTTCAGCTTTGGGGGCCGTTCACCGGCGGGGGCCGTTCAGACCAGCGGGGTCCGTTCACCGGCGGGGGCCGTTCACCGGCGGGGGCCGATCAGCGTTGGTGACCGCTCACCGGCGGGGGCCGTTCACCGGCGGGGGCTGTTCAGCTTTGGGGGCCGTTCACCGGCGGAGGTTTCTCACCGGCGGGGGCCGCTCACCGGCGGGGTCCGTTCAGCTTTGGGGGCCGTTCACCGGCGGGGGCCGTTCACCGGCGGGGGCCGTTCAGACCAGCGGGGTCCGTTCACCGGCGGGGGCCGATCAGCGTTGGTGACCGCTCACCGGCGGGGGCCGTTCACCGGCGGGGGTCTCTCACCGGCGGGGGCCGCTCACCGGCGGGGGCTGTTCAGCTTTGGGGTCCGTTCAGCTTTGGGGTCCGTTCAGCTTTGGGGTCCGTTCAGCTTTGGGGGCCGTTCAGCTTTGGGGGCCGTTCAGCTTTGGGGTCCGTTCAGCTTTGGGGGCCGTTCACCGGCGGGGGCCGTTCACCGGCGGGGGCCGATCAGCGTTGGTGACCGCTCACCGGCGGGGGCCGATCAGCGTTGGTGACCGCTCACCGGCGGGGGTCTCTCACCGGCGGGGGCCGCTCACCGGCGGCTCCCCGCGTGCTCGAGGAGGTGGAGCAGCCCACGGAGAGCCGCGTCCCCGCAGCCGCCGCCGCCGCTCCCGCAGCATCAGGCGCAGGCGGCACCCGGAACGCGGCGGCTCCACGGCTCCGCATCCTCCGTGGGCAGCCGGATCGGGAACGGGGCCGCGTCCCGCCGCCGGGGTAGGGGACGACACCCCCTGCGCGGGGGGTGCGGGGACACCCCCCAAACCGGCTTCGGGGCTTGGGGGGGTGGTCCCGCTGCTTGCGAGCGAGGCCGGCACTGGCGGAGCGGAGCGGAGCGGAGATGCTGCCCTGGCGCCGGAGCAAGTTCGTGCTGGTGGAAAATGAACGTAAGTGCAAAGGCAAGAGCCTGGGGCCGGGGCTGAGCTACGCGGCGCTGCTGGCCGGCTTCCTCCGCTCCTGCCCGGACCTGCTGCCCCAGTGCCCGCTGGAGCGCCTGGGCAGCGTCTTCCGCGGGAAGCGCCAGAAAGTGGAGCTGAACAAGGAGGACCCGACGTACACGGTGAGGTACCTGGGCAACGCCGTCACCCTGCACGCCAAGGGCGAGGGCTGCACCGAGGAGGCGGTGGGCAAGATCTGGGCCAAGAGCGAGGCGGGCGCCGGCGGGGCCAAGATGACGCTGACGCTGGGCCCCCACGGCATCCGCATGACGCCCTGCGAGAAGGGGGCCCGCCGGCCGGGCCACGCGTACCTGCTGCACCGCATCACCTACTGCGCCGCCGACCGCCGGCACCCCAAGGTGTTCGCCTGGGTGTACCGGCACCAGGTGAAGAACAAGGCGGTGGTGCTGCGCTGCCACGCCGTGCTGGTCTCCAAGGCCGACAAGGCGCGCGCCATGGCCCTGCTGCTCTACCAGACCTCGGCCTCCGCCTTCAACGAGTTCAAGCGCCTCAAGAGACAGAGCGATTTCCGCCACGTGCAGCAGCAGCTCCTGGGCGACGCCATCGTGCCCTTGGTGCCCCTCCGCAGGCTGCTCAACGCCAAGTGTCCCTACCGCCCGCCGGCCGAGCGCGCCCGCTGCGCCCCTCGGCTCAGCTCCATCCTGGAGGAGGAGGAGGAGGAGGCCTTCGGCGCCGGCACGGCCCTGGGGGACGCCGAGCGAGCGGCCGTGCTGCGGCTGGCCAGCGACATGAGGGGCTGCAGCCTGCGCGGGCCCCGCGCCGCCGTGTGCTGAGCCCGCGGCACCGGGCCCCGCGCCGCCCGCCCTGCGCCCCGGCCGCGGCTGGGCCCTCCTGGGGCACCGCTCCGGACAAGACAGCAGCTCCGTTCGCGGCGAGACCCACGGCGGGGGTGGGCTTGCACCCCGGGGAGCCCCCCGGCCCCGCACATGAACCTGCTCTCGTGCCTCCTCCGCAGCGGCCATAATAAAAAAGTGAATGTGTGTTTTCTGCGGTGTGACGGCGCCTGTGTCTTGCCCGGAGCCTGGCGGACGGCGGAGTTAAGCTCGGCTCTGAGGCAGTTTGGGGGGTTTATATTGCATTCACCCCCCGAAAGGCCAGCCAAGGAGGGGGGCTGCAGGGCCACAGTGCTTTCCTGCCGCACCGAGGGCGGGGAGAGCTGCTCTGCGTAGCCATGGCAACTTGATTTTTTAAATCTAGAGCCGGGGGGGCGGCTGTGCCGCCCACGTCGGGGAGCAGTGATGGGGTTTTGGCCCCTCGGACCCCACTGGAGAGCAGAACTTGCCTGCACCACCCCGCCACTCCAAATCAGCACCAAGGGCCTGAAGATCAATAATTTACAAAACATTTCTATTTTTTTCTTCCCATTTTGCTGCTTTCCCAGAATAAGCGATGGTAAGGAAATGGTGGGGGGTGGGAATTGGGGTAGGGGGGGTTTGTGTCCCCACCAGCAGGGATCTGCCACCCTGCCATGGCCCTTTGTGGGGCGTGGGAAAAGGACTCTGCAAAGTGGGGCTGGGGGCTGCGTCCTGAGGCTGAGTACTCGCACTGGGGGGGCGGGACGTGGTGCTGCTGCCCCCCAGCCCAGTGAGGGGTTGTAACCCCTTCCCCAAGGGGCTATAGGGCTGGGATTTGGGGAGATATCCCCCCCCAGGCCAGTGAGGGGTTGTAACCCCTTCCCCAAGGGGCTATAGGGCTGAGATTTGGGGAGATATCTCCCCCCAGGCCAGTGAGGGGTTGTAACCCCTTCCCAAGGGGCTATAGGGCTGGGATTTGGGGAGATATGCCCCCCAGGCCAGGGAGGGGTTGCAACCCCTTCCCCAAGGGGCTATAGGGCTGGGATTTGGGGAGATATCCCCTCCTAGCCACGAGGGGACAGGCTTTGGTCTGACCACTGCCCCCACAAACTTATCAGAAGGGTGAGATTCGGGCTGCCCCCACCCTCTAGTAGGGGGGTACGGGGGATGCTCTCCGCCCACACCGGTGGCATTAGGATTTGGGGCCAGCTGCCAAGATCCTAAGGGATGGCTGCGATTTGGGGATGCTGGTAAGGCTGGAGTTTGATCCCCCCACAAGACCCCAGGGTGGGGGTGGGGTTAAAGGGGTGGGGAGGCTGCGACCTGTCCCGTAAACTCCCAGGGGTGGGATTCACTCCCCAGAGCCCCGCGGGGCCGGGATCCGGCCCCACTCCGTGCGGGGCGGCCGCAGTCCGGCTCTGCCCCCCGACCTGGCGGTCCGCCCGTCTCCATGGCGGCGCCGCGGCTGCCGGAGCGCCGCTCTGACGTCATCGCCGCGCGCCGGGCGGTTGCCGTGGTAACGGCGCGAGGCGGCCATGGAGGGCAGCGGGCGGCCCTCGGCCGCGCAGGCCGTGCTGCTGACCGCCAGCACCGCCCTCACCGCCCTGCTCTACTCCATCTACCGCCAGAAGGCCCGCGTGGCCAGCGGGCTCGAGGTGGGTGTGAGGGGTGCGACGGGGGAATGCGTTTGCCCGGGCGCCGAGCCGCGGCCTGGTCGCGCCGGCTGAGCCGCGGCCTGTGTTTGTTCCCCGCAGGGCGCCAGGAAGGTGCGGCTGGACGGGGACCTGCGCGCCCTGCTGCTGGAGGCGCCCGGACGCTGCGTGCCCTATGCGGTCATAGAAGGTAGGGTCGTCTACAAACACCGGAGGCTTATGTCCAAAAAGGAGACGGAGGAGTCCTGTGACTTTATTCAAATCAAGGGAGAGGTCATGGGCATTTCCCATGGGGTCTCTCAGGTTACTAGAGGATGCAGCCTCCTTTTTATTGTCATTTCTCTCTCTCTTTCCGTATTGGCTGAGGCATTTGAAAGGTACAGACTTCCTGAAATGCCTGATACCTAAGTCCCCCTTCTAATGTATAACCTCACCCCACTTTCCTTTTCCTTGGGTCAGTCAGTGGAATTCCTGTGGCATTTATGGTTCTTCCTATTCTTTCTTTTATCTCTCAGTATCTAGTTTTATCTACCAGCAGACCCACAGTTTGTTTGTAAAGACAAATCCCACATTTCTTTCAAACAGGACCCAAAGCAGTGTCCCAAATGGAGGAGGGGGGGCACATCCTGCCCCACAGCTGCTCCTCACTGGGGGATTTCATCCCCAGCTCCTCCTCCTGTGCCCATCAGGTCATCTCCCCCCTGCCAAGCAGCCACAGACTCCTGACAGCAGAAAATGTGGGCTCTCAGCCCTTTTGTCTCCATCTTAGAATTCTAGAATGAAAGAAGCCTTAAAAGTTGAAAGAGACCTTAAAGCTCATCCAGTGCCACCCCCTGCCAAGGGCAGCCACACTTTCCACTGTCCCAGGCTGCTCCAAGCCCCGTCCAACCTGACCTTGGGCACTGCCAGGGATCCAGGGGCAGCCACAGCTGCTCTGGGCACCTGTGCCAGGGCCTGCCCAGCCTCACAGGAAGGAAAGGATTTCTTCCTAGCAGCCCATTGAAGCCATTCCCCATGGTCCTGTCACTCCCAGCCCTCGTCCAGGGTTTGTTCAGTCAGCCCTCACCTGGCCTTGGGCTCCGTTGCAGGTGTGGTGCGGTCGGTGAAGGACACCCTGAGCAGTCAGTTTGTGGAGAACTGCAAGGGCGTGGTTCAGAGGCTGACACTGCAGGAGCACAAGATGGTGTGGAACAGAACCACCCACCTCTGGTATGTGCCTGTGGTGCCCTTGGGGGGTCTGTCACCCTGAAACGACCTCAGACATGGCCAGAGTGACCAAGTGCCTCAAAGCTGAGTCTCAAAGTAGCCCCCACAGTGACAGCTGCCATAATGGGGGCTTGGCTGATTTTAGAGCTGGATTTGGCTGATTTTAGAGGGGCTGGAGGAGAAGAGCACATCGAGTAACCCACCACGAGCTGAACACTGATCAGCCCCACCTTGTTACCCCACCAGAGGATGGTGTTTCCAAAAAATACCCACTTGCAGAACAGAAATTAATTGGATTTGGGCAATCCATACACCCAGAGGTCATAGAGCTGCTGAAGCAGAGCCCAGTGATGCAGTTTGATAAGCATTTGGCAACACCAAACTGGGATGTGTGACACGTGGTGCTTCTCCTCACAGGATGGTTTTTGGCAGCTGGGAATGCCACAGGCAGGTGAGGAAGAAGTAGGTGGGGATGGGGAAAGCCCCCACTACTTGTGGAGCACTGAGATGGGGGTGGAATGGCCTCGTGCACACCTGGACAGTGCCATGAGGGGAAAGGTGTTCTCCAGAGGCCCCCATCAAAGAAGCTCCACTCAGGCATGTCCCATCTGGCAGTCCCCAAACCCAGCAGGTGATCCCAGGCAGTGTTTCCCACCAGGGGCAGTCATTCACTTCCCCCCTGCTCCCTCCCCAGGAACGACTACGAGAAGATCATCCACCAGAGAACCAACACCACCCCCTTTGACCTGGTCCCTGCCGAGGACGGCGCCGGCGTCACCGTCCGGGTGATGAAGCCTCTGGAGGCTGCCGAGCTCAGCCTGGAGACGGTGTACGAGAAATTCCACCCGTCTGTCCAGTCCTTCACCGACGTCATCGGCCACTACATCAGCGGGGAGCGCCCCAAGGGCATCCAGGAGACCGAGCAGATGCTGAAGGTGGGCACGGCCCTGACCGGCGTGGGAGAGCTGGTCCTGGACAACGCCACCATCAAGCTGCAGCCCCCAAAGCAGGGCATGCCCTACTACCTGAGCTCCCTGGATTTCGAGTCCTTGCTGCAGAAGCAAGAGTCCGGCGCGCGCTTTTGGAAGATCCTGACGGTGGTGTCGGGCTTTGCCACCTGCGCCGTGCTGTTCTTCCTGCTGCGGAAGCAGTACCGGCAGCACCGGGAGCGGCAGCGCCTCCGGCAGATGCAGGAGGAGTTCCGGCTGGCCCAGGAGCGCCTGACGAACACCGAGGGGGGGGAGGTGCTCAAGAACGCCTGCGTGGTCTGCTTGAGCAGCACCAAATCCTGCGTTTTCCTGGAGTGTGGCCACGTCTGCTCCTGCCACGAGTGCTACCAGGCTCTTCCCAATCCCAAAAAGTGCCCAATCTGCAGGCAGGGCATCACCAGGGTGGTTCCCTTGTACAACAGTTAATTTTTTGTGGTTCCCCGGGGGGAGACTTTGGATTTAAAGCTGCCACTGGCAAAGCGGTTTTGTCGCCTCACTGCTTGGGTGGTGGGTTTTGGGGAAGGGGAGGGAGCTTGAGGGAGTGGGTGCTTCACCAGGGGGGCAGAGCTGAGTCTGAAAAGGTGACTCTGCAGCTGATCAGGGCTCACGCTATAATCTGGGGGTGATTTTGAGAGATGATTCCTTGCAAAGGGTGAGGTGCCTGGGGCAAGATGCAGCTTGAAGCTCTTCCGTTAAGGTTTGGACTTGCAAGGTTTGTGTCATGCTTACAGAGCCTGCAGCCCCTTACCCAGCTGATAAAAACATGGGGAAAACAGAAATAAAATGTATTAAGGGTTCTGGGAGGCTGCAGAATTCCTGTGAGGCTTCCAGAGGGCTGCGAGGCCTAACGGAGCAGGAGGGGCTGTCGGAGAGCTCGTACCAGGGGTGTGAACACAGGTAATTCTGTGAGCCCCCCAAAATGGCTTTGTCACACCAGGATGTGAGGATGAGGATGTGAGAATGCTGTGGCTGATGGCTGGGCTTGGCTTGGCTTGGCTTGGGATAGCAAATGGAGTGTGAAGTAATAAAACAGGATGAAAAGTGTGTCTGTGTTGGATTATTTCCATGAGAGTGGTGAGGTTTGTCCTCCCTGAGGTGGACATGGTGAGCCTGGATCGTCCTGAGCCATGATGGAGGTTGGCTGAGGGAGAGGAACCTGTCCCCCCTGCACTGAACATGACAGTCACTGCTGAACCCTCATGACACAGGTGGTGCCAAACCCCCAAACTGACACAAAAAAGGAAAATTCCTTTCCCTGACATTCCTATTTTGTCATAAATCCCATATGCACCCAAGAGGGTTAATGGACCCAAAGTGCTGCTGCAATTAACATTTCCTTCAGAGGACAATTAGATAAACATTCCTGGGGAATGAGGGAGCCTCAAGTAAGAGCAGCTGAAAACCCCAGGGCTGAGGCAACCCCTGGGCACCGCTGCTCCAGGCAGAACCATCCAAATCCCCCGGGCACATTTAAAAAGAAACATTCCCATCGACTGGCATTGAAAAACCCCTGAATTTACAGTGAAAATGATGGGTTGTTTCCTCATTAAACATTAACCAGAGCAGCCGGGCAGTGTCCGAAGGCCATCGTGGCTGTGAGTCCCAAATCCACGGCGTGGTTTTGAGGAGCAGCAGGTCCCTGGTTATTCCAGTGCCGGGAAAGGGCCGCGTCCCACCAGCTGTAGATGGCGGTGGCTGCCTGCAGGGCGAGGCAGCCGCAAACCCATCCCAGAGGGAACAGCTGAAACACAGCTCAAAAAGCCACACCGCAGCCCCAAAACCCAGCAGACAGACTGAAACGACAGAATCCCATCTGTTGGAAAGGTGTCCCCCCTCCTCAGGGGAACCACCACCCCAAAAAGCCTCACCCCCTCACTGGGGGCAGCGGGGCGGTCAGACCCCTCAGACCAGTGCAGGACACAGCCTCTAGCCTCGGTGTTCTGGCCAGGAATGGAGCATCAGGCAAAGCCTAAAAATACACCTTGGAGGGGCTGTGCTTCCCCGTTACCCCTCGCCTCCTGTTTCCAGGCTTTCCCTGTGAAACCTCGGGCGTAGCCGCAACCTTATGTAAGGAGCTGTCAGCTCGGGGGCGGGCGGGAGTGCAGGGGAGAGGGGCTCGTGCAGCTCTGGGGGCTGAGGATCGCAGCAAACGAGGGCTCTGGAGATGGGAGCAGCCCCAGGACACTGCACCCCAGCCCTGGTACCACCAGGCACCCCGTCCTTCCTTTCTGCCTGGCCCCAAAATGAGCCAGGCTCCCGATTCCAGGGAAATCCGGTAACTCAGCCTTGCAGGTTCTTTGCTGCCGTTGCTGTCCTCCTGCTCTGCTTTTTGGGAGATGCACCACAGATGCCTGAACACCCAGCATAGCTGTGGTCTGTCTCAAAATGTTATCCCCAACCTTCCCATCACTCACTTTGCCAGGCAGTAACCCCAGTGACCCACGCTGCTGCTGCGGTGACTGCACAGAAAACCCCATGGGAAGCTCCCAGTGACTCAGAAGTCCTCCTGCAGTGCCCCGAAGGCTCCTGCAGGGACGGCTCCTGGGGCCCACAGCCAAGCACACCCAGTTCCCCCACGCTGCAGCCCCCACAGAGCGCCAGAGCCCCCCATGGCTCATTTCTGCTGGGTGTGCAGGGCAGTGGGGCTGTGCCCAGGCTTCCTGGGAGCTGGCACTGGGCTCCCCAGGGCTGTGGAGGGCTTAGTTCCAGGCTTTCCAGGAGTGGCCTACTCCGAGCTCCCTAAATGTGTCTGCGGGGTAGTCTAGGCTCCCCAGATGCGGCTGTGGGGCAGCTCTGGGCTCCCCAAAAGTGCTGTGGGGCCGCCTAAGGTCTCCGAGGGCCCTTGCAGGGCAGCTCCGGACTCCCCAGGGATGCTGAGGGGCAGGCTGGGGAATCCTGAGGATGAAGCGGGGCAGCTCCGGGCCCCGCAGGGTGTCTGCTAGGCAGCTCTGGGATCTCCGGGGGTGCTGTGGGACAGCCCGGGGATGCTCCGGGACAGCTCCGTGCTCCGCGGGGAGGCGACGGGGCAGGCCCGGGCTCCTTGAGGATGCTCCGCGCTCCCCGGGCACGCTGCGGGGCAGGCGGCGGGGCAGTCCCGGGGATCCCCGGGGTGCGGGCTCAGCCCGCGGGGCGGCGCCGCCGCCGGTGCCGGGGGCCGAGCTGGTCCCGCCCCGCCCCGCCCGGTCCCGCCTCCCGCTCCTCTATCGCCGCCGCCGCCGGAGCCGCCGCCGCAGCCGCGGAGCCGCGAGCAGCGCCGGCCGCGCCGGGATGTGACGGGGCGGCCGCCCCGCGCCCGCTGCGCCGCTGCCCCGGGCCCGCGGGCCCCGCGCCCCGGGAGGCTGTCGGGGGGCGGCGGCGGCGGCGGGTCCCCCCCCGCCGCCCCCATGTCGGAGGGGCCGCCCTACGGCGAGGGGCAGCTGGCGGGGGACGCGGCCGTGGGGCAGCTGCCCTTCCCCGTTCGCCTCCGCGGCGGCGACGGGCTCCTGGCCGGCGGGCAGGGCAAGCGGCCGCCCAAGCTGGGGCAGATCGGCCGCAGCAAGAGAGGTGGGTGCCGGAGGGACCGGGGCGCACCGGGGGCTGCCCGGGATGCGGGACACGGCCCCGGGGATGCGGCGGGTATCCCGCGGGGTGTTGGGCATCGCGTATCGCGGACCTTCCCCGGGGACGCGGGACACCGGGAGCCATCCTCAGGGACGGGGCATGATGACCGGGCTCCCTGAGGATGTCGGGCGTCCCGTCCCGAGGACCTTCCCCAGGGATGCGGGGCACTGGGGCCGTCCCCAGGGACAGGGTATGGTGCGCCGGGCTCCCTGAGGGATGTTGGGCGTCGTGTTCCGTGGATCTTCCTCACGGATGGGGCATCAAGCTCCTTTCGGGGATGCAGGGCACCGGGAAGGTCCCCGGGGACGTGGCACGATGCACCAGACTCCCTGCAGGATGTCGGCATCACGTCCCAAGGACTGTCAACGGGTGTGGGGTAGCCGGGACCTTCCCTGGGGACAGGACATTGCGCCCTGGGTACTTCACCGGGTACAGGGCAGCAGGGACCTTCCTTAGGGACAGGGGACATTCCCTGGGGACCACCTGCAGGGCACAGAGGTGAGGGGACCTTCCTTGGGGACACGTCCTTTGCCAAGCGTCCCCAGGGACAGGGCAGCAGCCTCGGGGCGATCCCGGGAACGCTCCCTGGGGACGGGGCACGGCGCACCGGGCACCCTGCGGCGTGTCGGGCACCGTGTCGCTTTGCCAGCAGCCACCCCGGGGATGTGGGACCCCTCCAACCCCCCCCAGGGTGACCTTGGGCGGGGGGAGCACGGCGGCAGCAAAAAATTCATCGCGCTTCTGTTTCTTTCTGCTTTCTAGTGGTTATTGAAGATGACAGAATTGATGATGTGCTGCAAAACCTCTCCGAAAAGGCCCCTCCCGGTGTTTAAAGCCTCCCTGGGGACGCTGGGCTGAGGCCCGGGGTGGGGTCGGTTTACCATGGCACAGGTGATCGGCAGAAAATAACCCCGAGACCGCAGCGAGCACCGAGCGCCGTCCGCGCCCCGCGGCTCCGCGGCTCGTCCTGCCCTGCCCGGCGGAGACGCGCGGAGGGGAGGGCGGCGAGCGAGCCCGAGCCCAGCCACCGATTCAAAAATGATAGAAAATAAAATATCTCTATGTAATCGGGAAAATAGTCACCTGCTTCAAACCCCCGCAGCCCGAGGGACGGACGGAGGAGTCACGCCGCGGCTCCGAGCTCCTCGGGATGCGTTTCTCGGGCTGCTGAACCTTGTGCCGCGCTAGATCGGGGGGTAAGAGGAAAGGGGGCAGCGGGAGATGGGGGAGTGGGGGGGAACAGCCCCTGGAGTCTCCCTCCGGCCAGGGTTGTTCCCAGCGGGCACCTTGTTTACATGATTTAATCTTGCAAAAATGAATCCGTGCACTTGGATGTACCACGCTATCCCCTTCTGTATGAGTTTCTTTCTTTCTTTCTTTTTTTTTTTTATGTTGATGTCTTTGGATGTTGGGAAATTATATAAAATAGATATATATATATATATTTAATTTTAGTCACGTTTTAAGGTTCTTGAGGGGGAAAACCAAAACTTTTATAAAGGAAAGGCAAGAAGGAAGAATTGCTGGTTTATTTTTTAAAGCTTGTACTTCTTGGTTGCTGTGAGCAAAGGGACAGATTTTATATGTACAGGGGGTGGGGGGACGCTCAGCTTTTCTAACTACCATGCAGTCTGTAGTGTGGGTGATCTTGGTTTTTTTTTTCCTTATATTGTGGCAGTTTCCTCTCTTTAATAGACTGTATTAAAACATACATAAAAAAGAAATTATTTAATGTAATCACAAGAGTGCCAAACACTTGGAGATGCTGGAGGGCAGCGATTCCCTCCCCGAGACGAGCAGCACTCGGAGCTTTCTGCTCTTTCCAGGGCTCGGTCGATCTCTCGTGGGGTTTTCTCTGACTTCTCTTTTCTAATCTTTCTTTTTAACTATTTTGCATGACGTGCATAAAATCAAAAGGGGAAAAAAAAAAAAAAGCGGGGGAGGGGGGACAAAAAGCGCCTCTGGCGCCCGGGCTTGGTTCTTGTTTCTGTTTGCGATTGACTGACAGACCTCAAGGCAGGTTTTTCTTTCCTCCTTTTCTTAAATATTGTGTATGTTGCACTTTTATCCACTACACAGGGCTATTTCTGCAATGTCCGAATAAAAAGGAAAATGAAACAAAACGGAAAAAAAAATTATAAATGCGGATCTGCCGTGTTTTCCCATGGGCTGCCAGGGCCAAGCAGCATGAGCATCCGTCCCTGTTCCCCCAAATAATCCCAAAATAACTAAGGAAAACCTCCCCACTCTCTAGCACAGGCCCCTGTTCACACTGAATAACTAATTGTGATTCGTATTTATTTGTGGGATTTTTTGTTTGATGGGGAAATGCTTCAGGGGCACAAATTTAATGGAAAAATTCAACATTAGGTCCTGAGTGTGGCTGTTGGGAATAGGGAATTAAAAGTGGCTTCCCCTTCTCTGATGGGAAAAGCTGTGGAAAA